CGGGACTAATTATAAGATTGTGGTTAAAACATACAACTATGAAAATAACAAATATAATACATAATATGTAAACATTCAAATTATTAGATGTATGATAGGAAAACAGCACTTGTAAATAAAACAAACGGGTTACTTCAAAAGTAGAGATCGGTATCGACCGATAATAAGTAGTGTGCGTGACAGGTATACAAAACTTAACTAAAAGAAATATACACTTGCCTTCCAGACCAATTTTTTAATATAGTAATTATATTTTAATCACAAATACCTACTTTGGGTTTGTACTTTATGTAATTATGCAAGTGTATATAACAAAAGTTGCTTTGAGCTTTGAGAAAACAATTATTAATCGTATAATTTTTCACCACCGATTTATGAATTAACAGCATCTACGAAATTTATATACATATAAGTCGTTCTATAAAATTATTTAACATTTTGTATGATTTCTTGGATCTATTGGTTGAACAATGGATGTGCAGTTGAGTGATAAATCAGCCATTTAGATTTTTTTAGGTCAAATGGTTGTGAGCAACCATTATCAACAAGTAGCAACATTTTTCTTTTCCTTTCTCCATCTTTCTATAAAGTTTTTCAAACCATTGTTCCATTAAACTTAAAACATCCAGGATTTATTGTTACTTCCACTTCCACACCAGATCTCAGTTTTACTTGTAATGTTTTATAATAAAATGCTATTAATATGAATGTGGCATTAATTGCATATATTTGCCTTATATATGCGGAATAAAGCAATTTTTAAGTATATACGTTTATTTTCGGTTGTTCAGTTTTTCATGAATTTGTATCTTGGTCAAATTCTCACGAACGTATGGTAGATGATTAAGTGAGAATTAACAGTTATAAACATTAACTTTGACTATTACTTAGTAATCTCCACACTTAGCGCAATACCATTTTCCTATTGGTCTTCCTTCCTATGTTCTGATTGCTTAAAATTACAATTCTATCGGTTCGTAGTATTTTTTCTTAAACTTATTCTAAACGTACAGCAATTTGCATTAAAGATAAAGATTTGTACTAGCGTGTGTTATTGAAACAAATAATTGGTTGCTTTATGGTTATATAGCTACTGCTAATTAGCAGTGGAATATACTTTACTGGAATTATCGACGTTTATGTAAACATCTAAGTAAACAAACTATTCCCTTTACTTGAACAAATTAATTCAAAATATTGATGTATTTTCAAAAGCGTTATTTGGGAAATTTAGATTTTTAAAATATTCTGGGTGAGACCTGTTTAATATCTTTCATATAAACATTGTTTGCAACTGCGTCTTCAATTATATCTTGAAGACATAAAACTTTTTTACATGGTTAATGTTTGTCTTGTGAAATTCGATTGCAAAATTTAACAACGCTAACTATTTGAAGACTTTATTCGGCTACTGTTTGTATGTTAAAAAGTCTTCACAAAATAAAAATATGAAATATTTAGTTTTGACATAAAATATCGAAAATTCATAAACAGTTAGCATAAGGCGTTTCTAGTGAAAAGAGCTTAATAAAAAAACCTTCATTGTTGTGACTAAATGTTATTAACTATTTGTGTTTTATTAAAGGTTTTAGATAGAGGAGTGGGACTTTCTACCCATTCAGACAGCGAACTCATAACTCAAGCGCTGTGTTTGATACCTCCAGATGGAGAAGTGAATGGGCCTGATTGGCCAGCTAGAATTCGGCATTTAATGCAGTTGGCCCCTTTGAGTTATTCTTTGGTAGTTATGTTAAAAGATCGCATCTATGCGGTTAGGTTAGTAATTTTTATTATTGCGGTACCAACTTGGTATCTGGATTATTTGCGTTTGTTCTTTTCAGAGATCCTTACGGAAATAGGCCACTTTGCTTGGGAAAAATTTTAGCTTCAACACATGAAAGTATGTATAATATTAGTATATTTAGAAGAGCTTTTTGCGAGGACACTGATCTTGGAAAAAATGTTTGGCTCTCTTATTTTTTTGTTGATTTTTAGGGCGCTAGAACTTGCGTATTTTTATTTGGAAAAACTGTGTTTTAACAACATTAAACTAACTACAATTTAATTTCTTTTTAAGATCTGTATTTATTGAATAGTGAAATTGGATTGGAAAATGCATAATCTCTATATTTACTAATGTACTTACGCGTTATGCTTAAATTTTAATGCAACATTTTATATGAAGTTTGAGAGTTTTCTGTCTAAAACGTGAGCTAAAAACATTTTTGGTTTTTATATCACCATTGTTGGACTTTTGCTTTTATTCATTGTATGCTACATGAAAGGCTTTGGTTTTTGTCGAATTCATCTCAGAGAAAAATGTTTAAATGCAGCAATGAAAACCTCCAAGATAGCCATAGTAAGCTTGAAAAAAATTGTTTTTTGTTTTCATTTTCAAGTTGCTAAATTCTCAAATCTCCAACTACTTTGCAAAGTCAAACGTAATGCTGTTTTAAAATATTCTTTTGTGGTTTCAAAGTTTCATTTTTCAAAATCGTTTTAACTTTAATTTTCCTAATTATGAACTAATTTTCTTTAATTTTGTACTAGTTTTTATTCTAACGATGACACGCGTGGCTACATAACAGTAAATATGATGTGTATATATGTAGCAAACATTCAGCAAGTTTCAGTTTTTATTTTCGTTAAAATAAATTTAGAAAGTTGACAAAAGAATAAGAAAAAAATAAACAAAAAACTTTCCCGGATAGTCGATTTGCCGGCATTTGGAAAAGCGCTTCTCATTTATTTCGCTTGATTATCAGAAAGTCTCCAAGTATTTTAACCTGAAATTTAATTTGAAATTCATTTTTTCAGTGGTAAATGGATTTACAGAAGATATAGTTAATAAAATAGTAGATGCGGAAAAACCGGCCGATGGCTGGGTAGTGGCATCTGAATCGTGCGCCTTTATGAAAATCACACGATATATGAGGGAAATTAAACCGGGGGAAATCGTCGAGTTGACTAGAAGTGGACCCAAAACTATTGATATCATTCCTACGCCTGCAGGAAAAGCGATGGCGTTTTGCATTTTTGAGTACGTCTACTTTGCAAGGCCTACAAGCATTTTTGAGGGCCAGGAGGTAATTTTTATACAATATAGGACAAAGCTTTAATTTAAAGTCATATTGTGTCTAGGTATATAACGCAAGAGTTCATTGTGGAAGGCAACTTGCTTTAGAACATCCTGTGGAGGCTGACATTGTTGGATCTGTACCTGAGTCAGGAAACGCCGCAGCACATGGATATTCACTGCAGGTAAGGTAAAATTAATAGAATAATTACACTTTTTTATTACAAGTATTATAATTTTATTCTAGTCAAACATCCCGCAAGGCGAATTGCTAGCCAAAAACACCTATGTAGGAAGAACATTCATACAGCCAAGCAACAGATTGAGGCAAATGAATGTGGCATTAAAATTCAGTAAGCTCTACAAAAATGTTTTAACCTTCTCATTTTGAATGTCTAACTATCTTAGGCCCGATATTAACCAACGTAAAAGGAAAACGCATCATATTGATCGATGATTCGATAGTTCGAGGAAACACTGTTGGTCCCATCATAAAGTTGTTGCGAAAATCTGGAGCGAAGGAAGTGCACATTCGGTATATCCATTAAAGTTATTTAATTGGACAATTCTTTAAATATATATTTTAGAATTGCCAGCCCTCCACTTAAATTTCCTTGTTATATGGGCATAAACATTCCCACGCGAGAAGAGTTGATTGCTAACGCGAAAGATTTTGAGGATATTGCTTTAAAAGTTGGTAAGTGTTATAAACAATATGTTAGTAAATCATTTTCATATAACGGAAATTTAGGAGCGGACAGTTTGCATTATTTGAGCGTGGAAGGACTAGTTCGCGCCGTCCAGAAGGATATTAAAGTACAAGGTAGGAAAATTGGACACTGTACTGCGTGTCTCACTGGAGAGTATCCGGGAGGTGTTCCTGATAATCTCGACTGGTAATAAGGGATAATTCCGATATAAGTTCAACTTTTTATTTAGTTAGAGTTTGATTGATTAGGGAAGAAAAATCTTGAATATGTAGCTATAGTTTTTGGTATTTACAAAACTCCTAAATTCAATTAAATTGACCCTATGGGATAAACAGGAAATGGATGGATAATGCGCCTTCTTTCAGTATTAATTTTACAAGTTTAGCGCATATGCATACTTGCTTGTGATTATCTAAGTTAATAGTGTTAGGTTAATTTTTTATGTTATATATATCAACTACATATATATAAAACTTACTAGAAAAATGAGATAGATGCGAATTTTATTCGCATTTTCGGCTCTGCTTATAAATGTATCAAATTTTCCGTCGAACTTCTGAACAATGTGGAGAACACCTAATGAAGAAAAATGTTGCTGGTCAAACCTTCTTCTTTTGTTTGTGAAAAGTTTCTATTCTAAGTTTAGCCTATTTTTAAGATTTTTTAAAAATGTTAAAACGAATCAAGTAAAAATKTAAAAAACGACAAAAAACTTCCTGAAAAAATCCGACTTGAATTGCTTACCATCTTGCCTTATTAAATTGTTTTTATTATTTACTTCTGACGAACCWCTAGACTTCGAATTATTAAGGTAAGCAAAGCAGACGATGGTAAAGTTTCGGATGCAATTCGCATTTTCATCWTGTTTTGTTTMTTTTTAATTCAGTTTATAATTGCATTTAAATATTTTATTTTATTTTTAATTTTTCACTAATGTTTCTACGCGATTTTGTGATTTAATTTGTCAAGGGCGCATTTTAATCTTATGATTGTCGTTTTTATACAATTTTTGTATAATTGTTCTTCGTTGGATATTGCGATTTATTGACAAGTCTCTTGACTAATTAATATCATGAAAAAAATCCATGTTTTTCCAGTAGTTCATAATTTAAAAAAAAAATATATTGTTTTTCTTTTTTTTGCATTTAACAACAATTTTAACACATTTTTCGAACCACAAATTCAAAAGCTTCAATGTTTAAAAATGATGTATGCTTTCAGCTGATTATGAATGAGCCATTAACACTATGTAAATAATAGTAGGTTTTGTGTCTTGATAAGACGCAATAGCAATGTCTAGCCGAATCGCGACTAACAGTAAAAAATCGTCTTATTTTTACGTTAGATTTTTCTATAATAGTTAAATTTATATTAATTAGTTATTTAAAAGTGCCTTTTAAGTATATACATTTCAAGTAGTATGGTATATTAAAGAATCTCGAAAAACCACAAAAATAATATTTTTTGTTGTCCAAAAAAATGGTATTACTAGTATAGTTTTTTTACTTTCACATGAATATTGACACCATATGATCTGAATGACTCCATTATTTCGTAAAAAAATTACAAAGGTATATTCTATATACAATATTGCAATATTGAGAACACACATAATTTATTGTTTCTTGCATTTTTCTGTTATGTTACTATAATGTGTACGCATGTATTTTATACAGAAATACCTGGATGTACTAAGCATAATTATTCTATGCAAATGTTTTGTTTATATTAAGTAATATTTTAAATAATTTGATTTGTTAAATAAATACAATTTATATTTGTATAGTCTGCAGAGCTCTTAAAGAAATAAAGAAGTATTCTAATAAAAGTATTTTTATTATCCAAAAGCTAATATAATACTACACATTTGGCATTTGCGCTGTAATAAATGATTATAAATGCTTTAAAAAAAGTAATCAGCAGGAAAACTACTCCTGAGCTATTTTTTAATCTTTACTGCAAAAACGTGATCTAGGTGCTCCTGTAAACTCCGTAAACACTGACGCAATATTCAATACTACAATTGTTTTTTCCTACGCATATTTCTTAAGATTGTGCACCCCAAGCGCCGCCCCTGGATGTGCATGTGTTACTTTAAAGCTTTATAAAATAGGCAGGCCTGCTATTTTTAATTATAGTGATACTTTCAGAGCTTCATTCAATTTTTTTGTGCTCCGTGCAGGTTCAGAGATGCGAATTTTTAACGGAGAGATCGAGAATAAACATCCATTTTAGACCTAGGTTTACTAAACTGGCAGCAATACAGCTCCCAAGAGAGTTTTATGAAACTTTGAGAATCTTTCGATGTGAAAAATATGCACTTTGAAATGCTTACTAATGGACAAAAATCAGTATTATCGGCAATTTTAAATTACTTTGTGCTTTACTTGGAGACACGAGAATGTTTAAAGTAGAGAGCCCAGTTGAAGAAAACCATCCATTTTGGACCGATATTTACTAAGCCGACATCAGGATTGTAGAGCGAATTGCATCTTCTAAAGATGGTGAAAATGTGTTATTGTCTCTTGCGTTAAATTGAAAGACGAGATTTTTTTTAAGGAAAGTGCATAGTTGAGTAAAAGCATTCATTTTGAGACCGATATTTACGAAGCTGACAACAATCAGTATTTCGGGCAATTTTGCAAATATTGTGAACATTTCACATTTTTACTAGCTTCAGATGTAAAACCACGAATTTTGAAAAGAGGATTTAAGTTGAATCGAAATTGTTTTGAGAGCTTTTTTCTTGAAAAAGAGAAACTGAAAAATGTTGAAAGCGATGATTACTAAACTGACAACAATCAAGATTCAGCTCGATTTTTATGAAACTTTCAGCAAGTGTAGAGTGACCGGCAATTTAAAGATGGTAAAAATACTTCAGACAAATTGCCAATTGCGTTAGATTGGAAGGCGGGAATTTCTAAAAGAGAGGACAGTTGAGTAAATATTAATATTTAGAGATCGGTATTTACTAAGCTGGAAAAAATAGTATTATTGACGATTTTAATAACTTTTTAGTAAAAACATCAATTTTTAGACCGATATTTGCTACGCTGGCAATAATCAGAATTTCAGGTGATTTTTTTGAAACTTTGAGCCTCTTTAGAGCCAAAAATGTATTTTAACGATCATAAAAAGTTTTTATTGCTAACTGCTTGAGTTTGAAAGATTCAAATTTTTAAAGCAAAGAGCACGTCTATTGCGCTCTAAAAACAATGCAACAATCAAGATTCTGTTCGAAGTTTTATATAACTTTGAGCATTTGTAGACTGAAGCATCTTCTAAAGATGCTGAAAATTTGACACAGCCACTTGCGTTAGATTGGAAGATGAGAATTTTTAAAGGAGAAAACACAGTTTGGTAAAAGTATGTTTTTTGAGACCGATATTTACTAAACTGACAACAGTTAGGACTCAACATTTTTGGAGTGAAATGTCTTCTAAAGATTGCAAACATTTCAAATTGCTTCTTGCTCCAGTTTGAAAGATGCGAATTTTTAAAGGACAGAGGGAAGTGGAATAGGCCTATCCATTTTGAGAGCTTTAGTATGAGCAATCCGAATTTTGAATGCAGTTGAGTAAAAACATCTATTTTGAGACAGATATTTGCTAAGCTGGCAATAATTAGGATTGCAGGTCATATCTATGAAACGTTGAACCTCTTTAGAGCCAAGTGTGTTCTAAAGATTATAAAAACTATTAAAGGAAAAGGGCGCAGTTGAATAAAAAAATCCCTTGTGAAAGTCGTATTTACTAAACTGGCAACAATCAGAATTTTGATGGATTTTTATAAAGCTTTGAGCATATAATGAAGCGTTTTCTAAAGATGCGGAAAATTTTAAATTGCCACTTGCGTTAGGTTGGAGGACCTGCATTTTCAAAGGAGGGAACGCACTTGTGAGAAAACACACACTTTGAGATCGGTGTATATCAAAATATGCTTTATTGCCACGGAAAAAATCACAAATTTTGTGCAGTTGCAGGAATGCAGTTGTGTATAAACATGCTTTTTGAAATCGGTGTTTACTTACTTATTAGGAGTATTTAAGTTTGGTTTAAATAAGGTTGAAATTTTAAAGTGCAACGTGCTTTAGTTTGAAATATAGGAGTTTTTAACGGAGGGGGCACATTTGAGCAAAAACATCCATTTTGAGGCGTTATTTGCTAAGCTAACAACAATCAGAATTCCGGTAATTTTTTATGAAACTTTCAGGATCTTTTTCAGGAGTCAAGTATCTTCTAAAGATCGTCAACCTTTGCTTTAGAAATTTTAAAATTGCAACATGCTTTAGTTTAAAATATGTCAGATTTTAAAGGAAAGAGCGCAGTTGAATAGGGACATCCATTTTGAGACTGATATTTACTAAGCTGACAACAATCGAGATTCCGTGAACTTTTAATCAAATTTTGAGCTTGTTTAGAGCCAAGAGTGTTCTAAAGATGAGAAAATTTTCACATTGCCACTTACGTTAGATTGGATTGGAATTTTCAAAGAATAGAACACAGTTATGTAAATTCATTCTGAGATCGGCATTTACTAATGCGGAAAAAATCGCTGTTATTGGTAATTTTTATTCATTGAGCTTTTGCTGGGTGCGGAGATTTTGATATGTGCGGACTGGGTATGAAAGTATGTTCTAGATATAGTGAAAATTTTAAATTGCGTCGTCCATTGGTTTCAAAGATGCGAATTTTTAAATGGGGAAGGTTGAGTAAAGCACAGTTGAGCAAAAATATTAATTTATATCTACATATTTCCTGTGAAACTTAATTACGGCATCTGTAGAGTGAGTATGTAAGTATATGTTCTAAGACAGTCGAAAATTGCCTGCTGCTACGTGCTTTAGTTTGAAATATGCTGGTTTTTAACGGACGGGCGCATTTGAGTGAAAACATCAATTTATTGGACCGATATTTACTAAGCCGACAACAATCAGGATTCCAAACAATTTTGATAAAACTTTGAGGATTAGTCAGGTGTTTTCTAAATATTGTGAAAATTTCGAACTCCTGCTTGTTTCAGTTTAAAAATGCGAATTATTAAAGGAGCGGAAATTATGAAAGCTGCATTCGATTGAAAAACGCGAATTTTTAAGAGAAAGAGTGCGGTTTAGTGAAAATATGCATTCGAAGATAGGTTACTAAGCTGGCAAAAATTAGTATTCCGAGCGATTTTTAAGAAACTTTCTGCAATCTACAAACGAATTTTTTTTTCAGTCAGCCTTTTTTAGAGATGATAAAAATTTCAAATTGCTACTTGCTTTTGGTAGAATATGTACAAAGTGTTTCTATTGGTTGGCGATTTGTCAGTTCGTAATATCCGTATAAACTGATGCGTGGGACACGGGCTTAAAAAGCATTCATTATAAGCACGATTTTTTTTAAGCTGGAAAATTCCGAATTTTGTGCTATTTGTTGAGAGTTTCATCCAATGATAACAAATGTATTGGAATTCAAGCTAACTGTTAAACATTCAAAGTTTTAGAAGTCTAAAAGAATCTCAAAGTCTTCACTTACAAATCATAGTTGAACTGTTTCAAATTAACTCAGTAGATGGCAGCGATTGAAGTAATAAAGAAGCCTGACATTCTAGTTTTACTGCAGCAGCCCAGATGGAGATACGTCACATGCAAAATTAACTCGGAAAACTGGGAGGCGGAGCTTAGATTATCAAATTTATCTTAAATTTAATTGAAACATTCGAATGTAAAACAAGATTACTGTTGTCCATTTGCTTCACCAGCGCACTATTCCTTCGTTCTTTTTCTTGCTTGTGATAGGATTTTATTTTTAATTCATCATGAATAATTTACTTGGGAAAAGAAGGCTGGACAAAAAGAAATATCGGTACAAAGCGCATGCCCACGTTTTTCTACAATTATTGCAATTATTCCCTTTGTAGATCCTTGTTGGTCATAAAAATGTTATTAAATAATCCTTACCATAACGTTTAACAACTGGAGCCTAATTACACGTGATTTTCAACGGTTGAAGTTTCAAATTCAATGGTATTATTAAAATATTGGGCGTGTTTTACTGCCACCTATGCAGCACGTACGCTTTGTAAACACAGCAGGCTTCCCATGCTGCAAGAGAGAGATAGGTGGCAGCGAGTGGGTTGACTCTAGGAAATTAAAGGCGTAGCCATTTTGATTTTGACGAATATTGACATACGTCTAGTAGTCTAGACAGAAAGTCATTTGTTACAGTCGAGGTGACATGTAAACACGAGAAAAATCTGGGAAAAATACGGAAGTCGCATGTTTTAGTAATTACTCGCGTTTATTTTCTCTCGTTTTTTATTTTGCCGAATACCCGGACGGAGTTCCACGCGGTAAATTGAAAAAGTGGTTGTTTTTGTTTGGTTTCATTGAATTAACCTTGCGACTTGTCGATTAAATTCGGCCCGGTTTTTTCAAATGTTTTGGACTGACAGAAAACATGAGTGGAGCATACTAGATGGATTTTAAAATTCAACTGAAATAATGTAAGTACTTAGATTTCCATAAATTCAAACAAACACATATATTGCCACTGTTTTATATCGTGTATACTGTTCTGAGCGATTTTCTTCATTCATTAGCACTTGTGTCATAGTAAATACTCGTAAATTGATATGCCCTTCGCTGTTTCTCCTGCTGATTAGCACGTGAGATGCGTTATTTGAATTTATATTTGGTAAATATTTGTAGTGCAATCTATCCTACGTGATATTTTAAGTAAAAAGTAGTTAGTGTTTTCCTTCTAATTGAAACTAGAAACACTTTTTAGAAATTAGATTTAAAAGCGTTAAAGTATTTTCTGTTTGTTGTTGGGAAAGGATTTTGCAAACCAGTGCGTCTATTTGTTAAAATAATTATTGAAGTGCTGAAGGTTTTTTTCGACCAGATGCACTTTTTATCTACCTGAATAATACTGGATTTGGTCTGTTTACTATCTTTGTTGATGCTTTCAACTTTTCATTCCTTTTTAAAATGAGTGAAAGCTGAACCGATAAAATTGCTTTGCAGATACATCTTTAGAAAAGTCCCTACTTCTATTAGCTGCAAGAAAATGATGTTAAATAAAACAATTAATGAAGGCAAAAGAACAGCTACCTATGAGTTCATTACAATACAACGTCCAAGTGTAATGGATATCAAAAGCAATTTAGCTAGACACGTCAAAATATTAATGCAATAAATTTTTGAATCCTGGACCGATGACGCGCATATATTTTCTTCTTTATATTTGGCTTTCCTTTAGACCAGTGGATCGGCAGACTTATTAGCCAAAGAGCCAAATATGAACAGTAAAAAAAATTCGGAGCCAAATATGCTTGTTTACTAAACTTTTATTACACTAAATAAAACTAAATTTCATACTTAATAAATATTATTAAATAAATATACTTATTAATGCGAGCAATGTGCTTGCTCCGATGGTGTTGAAATTTCGAAAAATAGTTTCACATAAAAGTTGTGGACGCACAAAGTGCGCACATTTTAAACATATCTTATATGATACAGAGTGTCTCAGAAAAGCGAGGCAAGATCAAAGCGTATTTTTTTAAATAGAACTACCCATTTTTTATTAGCTCATGGAATGCAGCTTGAAACGCAGCACATGCACGCCATTTTAGTAAAATGTTTCTTAAAAACATGGTATCTAAAAATTCATTGTAGAAGCAAAAAAAAGCAGTTAAAGATCCAGAAAAATACGTCTTTCCAATCACCACAGATCCGTTAAGAATTATATTGAACCAAAATATCAATACATTGTACAGGGTGTTAACAATGTGGACTTGAATCTAAAACTTTTAAACGCAATATAACTTTTGTTTTTCAAATAGAAGTGTCTGTATATTAATACGTTATTAGATAGACAACTTACAAAGTTACACATTTGCATTTACACTTTAAGCTGTGAAATCAACCGTTTTCAAATTATAATTAAAAATTTCTAAAATTTGCTACATTTTGTAAGGTGGCAATGGAAGTCAATAAATATGTGTAAAATTTGAATTGCTATGATAGAGCTCCAGTTCACCATACAGCTCAAATTCATGAGTACCTAAATAATTAATTTCCTAAGAGGTGGATAGCCAGATGTGGGCCTGTTCAGTGGCCACCTCGTTCACCCGATTTGACAAAAATTGATTTCGTTTTATGGGCTTAAGTCAAAAACGAAATTTATAAAATAACTCCAACTACAAAAGATGACATGAAGGATCGAATCACAACTGTTTTTCGAAGCATTAATAATCTTGTTTTGAACTGCGTTAGCGATTCATTTCAAAAACGTAGATATTAATAGTTGCTTAAATGTTAACGGAAATCATATTGAACATTTATTTTAAAATATAGTAGGTATAATTTTATATTTTTATTTTTATAAACGTATGCAGTTTTATTGCATTTCTTGCTATGAAATTCAATGCATTTTATGAAACGTTGCACTTTTTTTCATTGATTATGTCAAGTA